GTGATGGGTATATTTATCAAAACAATCATTATTTTTTTATTAAAAAATTATTTAAATAGATAACTTTACAATTAAGCAATAGTAAATTTAAAATTTTTACAAAAGTACAATAGCATTTTGGAAGATAGTGTCTTGAAACTTTATTTGTAGAGTGCCCTAGTCCTTTAACTAAAATTTTAATTTTATTTCTTATGGAGATGACAAAAATACTCTTTGTCATATATAAATATTTACAAATTTACTCCACAAAAATAACCTTTTTTAAAAAATAATAAATTCACCCTTCGTAACTCTTTCTATCTTGAACTTTTGTAATTTGAAGGGTTATGAAATTTAGAATCTCCTATATATATATATATAATAAAAAATAAAAGACTTTGTTCTTTGATTATTATACGTAGTAAATCCAGTGACATAATCAACGTGCCTCAAGGCAAATCGCACTTGGTTGTTTATACTTTCATCTAATGATCTAAGACTAGGCAATCAGTCAATGCAGACTTGAATTGAAAACATATCCTTAATCTCTCTCTATATATATATATATATCCATTCCTCACTCTCTCTCTCACAGCTCAACAACAATGGCCCCCCTTCTTGCCCTTAATTTCTCTCTCTTCCCCTTCTTTCTCAATCTTACTCCAACATCACTCTGGGAACAACTCTTCTCTCTCTCTCTCCAAACAATTCATATCGGCCTTCTCCCTCTGGTGATTTTGCTTTTGGGTTTTACCCAATTGGTAGAAATCAGTTCCTGATTGGAATCTGGTTCCATAAAATCCCTGAAAAGACCCTTGTTTGGGCTGCAAATAGAGACAAACCAGTGGAAATTGGCTCAAAAATTCGGTTCACAAATGATGGTGAGCTCCTCTTCATTGACTCACATGGCCACCTATACTGGATCTACAATGGAACCACTGGTGCAACTTCGGCCTCCATGCTTGATACTGGTAATTTTGTTTTAGTAGACCCTCTCTCTAGAATTCTATGGCAAAGTTTCGATTACCCAACAGATACATTGCTACCGGGCCAAACCTTAGGCCAAGAAAAACCTCTGTATTCGAATCGTTTAGAGAGAGACTATTCGACCGGCCGATTCATGTTGGTCTTGCAATATGATGGAAACCTTGTTCTATACCCAAGGATTCGTCGTGGCATATTCCCAAACCCTGCTTACTTTGCGAGCCAAACTAATGGAGAAATGCCACCAGTAAATTTAGTTTTCGATCGAACCAGGTTTCTCTATCTGCAAAATTTTAGCAATAAGATAGTTTACAGTGTTTCATCAAATGTCATAAACCCAATTCAAGAATATTATCAAAGGGCCATGATTGATAGTGATGGGTTTTTCCGGCGATATTCTCTTTGGAAAAATGCCAAGAATGGAGAAGCATGGAGCATTGTTTCACACACCCCAAGCAACAGAAACTCTTGTGGGGTTCCAGGCATTTGTGGCCTCAATGGCTATTGTATCCTTGACCAAGGTGGAAGGGCTCAGTGCCTTTGTCCGGATAAATTTTCTTTTGTGGACACCAACTATACATTTGGTGGGTGCAAAAGAGATTTTGTCATAAGTTGTGAGAATTACAAAGCTTCAAATTATTTATTAATTGAGTTGGAAAATGTCAATTGGCCTTATGGGAATTATGAGTTGCTGCATTTGGATGAAGATGAATGCAAGGAGGCTTGCTTGAGTGATTGCTTTTGTGATGCTGCAATTTATACAAATAATCAGTGTTGGAAGAAGAGGATGCCATTGATGGATGGGGTGAAAGATGTGACAATGGGTGGAAAAGCCCTCATCAAAGTTTCTAGGAGTGGTTGACGAAGATAATGGAGGATTGTATTCTCTCTCTCATGAAGCATACGAAAAAAATAATGTATTTATCTCTCTAGCATGTTATGTAAGAGTGATAGGCATTTAGTTGTTCTCCAATAATGCAAAATATCTTTCTTTCCCTATACTGTAGAGAGAAAAAAATAATGATGCAATTTCTATGCATGAGGGACTTGTTATCCTGAATCTTTATAAATGGAATGAATCATGTTTTAAATTTCTTAAAGAATATTGTGTTTTTTGGGTTCCCAAAAGGTTCTTATTCCTATAGTCTTTTATGAATTCTTGTGCACTAAAATTTGTAGTGAGAGATACATATATGGGTTCTTCCAAGCTGTTCTTGTGCGGATAAACATTGTTAGAAAAAAGAAATTAAATTTTTTAAAAAATAAATAAACAAATAAATAAGCATTGGAGAAAATAAGGATATGTTCTCCTAATAAATTCTTGGAACATTTAGGTTTAATAAAAGAATTTGCGCTTTAAGAAAGAAAAGAGGCATTTTCTTTGTGTTGCAGGAACAGCAATGAAGCAATCATATGTTCCCAGAGTTATAACAAGACTGATATGAATCATTCCAACTATTTTATAAATTTTGAATTATTTAGTGTAAGTTAACTTTATTTTTTGCCGAACTGTGAGTTCACAAATTCCTATTCATGGGAAGAAGCTAGACAATTTGTGGAGGATCCAAAGTCGAAATTTTGTTTCGTTTTTCTCAAAAGATACAAGAAAATTGCTGTAAAATTTAAATATCCAACTACTGATTTCATTGAAAAAAGAAATGAATGAAAGGGAATAAGACGAATGATATCTGTTCTTCTTTCCCTTCTTAATTTTCTCTATTGTTTTTCCTGCTAAGGGCATAATGTTATCAACTCTAAAAGCTATAAGTTCTTGTTTGCTATAGCATTACCTTGTTTGCTAGTAGAATGTGCTACAAGAAACTGGCTTTAAGAAGTTCTGAGTTCTTAAAAAGTAAGAACCACCAGCTTCTATTCCAACTTCCATTTCCCACATGGAAATTCACTTATCTTATTTTGTAGGAAGTTTGCCTCACCTTGTTTTTGCACTCCACGTATCCCATCTATCTCTTTAACTCCATCTAATTGTGTCTTTTTTTGGCTCCAAATATAGTTTGGTTAATACATTCTTCTAACTCTTTTACTCGCGTTCTTTTTAACTCTCTCTAACTAATTTTTCGAATGTCATGACACATTTTCATTTATTGGATTTCATATCTAACAGTTAAAAATTATTGTAACCTCCTTGTACCAAAAATCAATAGTCTTATGTTCCACAATCCCATAAAAACTTACGGTCAGGCCTTAAATATTCAAGTTTAATTCTGATTCACCTGATCAAACAAGCAACTCCCAAGTTGGGTCGAACTACATTTTATAGAATTCAGATCCCTGTCTGACATCGGCAAATTTGCTTTGTAATTCTTAAATCACTTCCAAAATTGAAACAATTGAATTTACCTTAGGGTATGTTTGATAAGCACGTAATAGTGAGATATTTCAGTATATTATAAGATTTAGATATTCTTTACTTCTTCAATATGGTTAAAGCCACGTTTGATGGAACCTAATTGAATACGATTTGCTTCTTTCTCGAGAACCTAATTTTTATTTGTGCTTTGGTTGAGTCATCATATGAGAGTGTTATTCGATGGGTTGGTGCTCTACCTAGATGGAGAGGACTGTAAAAATAATTGAGCAACATATCAGTGCATCTTTCTTGTCAAGATCTTTCGTCTCTTCTATTGCCTTCCTATATGTAATTTTAGGAATACAAGTGGATTGTCAAACATGCACAAGATAACATATATCAAGATAATACAGTTTTAAGATATATGAAATGTCACTAATACCTTTATTCAAATTTAAAAAAAATCTAAATATCAAATTTTAGTCCTAAACTTAGCTCCAAAAAAAATCATTGAACCAAATAAGGAGCAATTCAGATATGTTAGTCAAAGCTATTAGATATTGACTCTTGATTTTTTTAATTTCTGTACACATGATAAAGTATTAACACTAATATTGTTTGGTTAGCTGTTTACAATTTGCAATGCTAAGTCCTAGGCTCAATTCCTACCGAGGGTAGGGGTCCTCTTCACATTGACTTACCCAAAAAAAATAAAAAATAGCGTAAAAAATAATTTATTTGGTTTAATTATTCAAGTCCCAATTATTACCCTTTTAAAAAAACAAATCCAATAATATCTCGATAAATAATATCCCGTCAGTGGTGGTCCATGTACTATTGATTTTTCAATTCAAACTTTAAAATCACAAAGGTAAAAGGAAATGTGTACCATAAGACCATTTAGTATAAAAAGAGCACGGCTATTGTTGACCATTAAATGTAAAATCGAGTGGTTGGAGATATGTCATTGACTAGATAAAATGATCAAAATAAAATTTCTCGATTGTTGTGACACATTTCAATCAATTAGATTTTACATCTAATTGCTAGAAATGATTGTGATAGTTTTATAGTATACATCCCGAAAGAAAATTGCATAAGAGATCTTCCCTTTTTTATCATTTATATTTGTGGAGAAACTCAATTTTGCTACCGAAATTGTCAAAGAACTCAAATATCCCTCTCGAGTGTGGAGAAATATGATATGGCCTAGACCGAAGACATAATTAGGGGGTCTTACTCTCATAAGGGAATTTTTTTCGTTCAGAATTTTTCAGATCATCCTTAACTCTAATTGCGAAAAATTCCATTAGACAAAACTAAACAATAAATAAGTTCTTTAAGCTCTTGAATGGACGATCAAGTCTCCATCTTTACAAGGGGAATTGATTTGGAGCTTTTTTCTTTTGTTTTTTTTGTGTTCAAAATCTATTTTCATGAAACCGATCTTGGGGGTTGATAATTGATTATCCAAAGACTTGTAGATAAAAATAAATAAATAAAAAGATGATGGTTTTGAGGAGGTAGTATGTGCTCGGGCTGGACCACCCAACACGCACTTTTTGCATGCTCACACTTAAAACAAACAATTTATGCTGCCCACCTAAGTTTAATTTTTTAAAATCTTTCAATTACTCCCCAAAATGTTCCTTTTCTTGTGAAGAATTCAAGGATGCCCTTCCCAACCCAAAATCCGCTACCTCTTTATTAACGCGGAGAATTTATCTGATTTGGATCCGAAACCTGAATTTCAGACCCTCGTATAAATCCAAGATTTAGATCTGACGGTCGGATCCGAATCCAAAATTTATATCTAGATAGTAATTTAGATTGGATTTAGGTATAGGTGGATCTAATCTGGATCCAAGCTAGTCATTAAAATATTATAGATAATTTTATATATAGAAATATATATGTTATATAGTATTTTTGGTTGTTATTTTATAAATATAAACTAATATATAGCATAATTGCTTTGAATCCGATTGGGTCTGGATCCGGATTTGAATCCCATGTATGCTTTTATCCAAATATTTGGATCCAATTGAGTTTGGATCCCATATATACTTTTCTAATCCGAATCCGGATCCAAGTGGATTCGAACCCGATCCGACCCATTCTCAGCCCTACTCTTCCCAAACTCAAAAGCCTAGTTATTTTAAAATTGAAAATTTACCAAAAAATTATTTTTATTTTTAATTATTAAAAAAAGATTACATATTATGATACTATTTATTTTTAATATAAGGAGGTCATAATCACTTTTAGCTATTGGATGTGAAATCTAATTGATAAAATTGTATCATAATATTCGAGAAATTTTCTTTTGGACTTTGTATCTAAATAATGACGCATCGTCATCTAGCCGATTTCGAATATAACAGTCAATGATAATTGTGACATCCTT